TGGTGTTCATTAGGGAAACAAGTTGAAGGGAGGTGATGTAATACAACATTTTCAACATGGCATAAGAGTAACTTAAAGTCTATCCCTTTCTAATAGTCTCATAGTGTCTTTTTTGTGTTAGACTGAAAAAGAAGTGTTGAGAGAGTGATCACAGATAAGAAAGGGACTACAACCAAAATGGCAGCACTTCTAAGACAGTTTCTGTGCCTAACGTGGGTGGCTGGTGTCCTAGTCAGATCACTGTCCCCTTGGAAGCTGTTTTAGTTGAGAAAATTCAAGATTCTCATCTTATGTGATAGAATTCAGGGATAGAGGTGCAATGCCACAGTGCCAGTGCTCTTAACTAAATTGCTAGTTTAAGAATCCCCAGAATTGTCCCTATAACATTCGAGCCATGTGGGGAAGACTTCCTTCTAACTGTGGGCTGTGAAGTAGAGAGGTGGGAAAATGTGGAACTTTATGTGAATTCTTTATCTACATAGGATGGTAAATCCATAATGATCTTTATGCTACCATGTGGAAGCCTACCAACTCTGTAAGGACATAGAGGAGGTGACTAGCTTTTCGTTATAACTTTCGACTAGTGGAGGGATGCTAGGTTTCTCCAAGCCTCTAGAAATTGGGGCTAAAGAGATTCTTGTCTTCCTTACATCACTGATAGAGGCTAAGCTTACTGCATGTGCAAAATGCCTAACAATTGTTTTAAAGTGACTGGGAAAAGTGGCCTCAGTGGCAATGCATTGGATTGAAACAGAAAGTGAGAATGAACAACTCTTAATTTCATTAAATTAGCAAAGGATGCAATACCTCATTTTCTTTAATTAAATTAGTTTCACTTGTTTGTGATTTGATTTAGAATGTCATACTTGGTAAAACATACAAATTGCCTGTTTTTTTGTAAATAGGGATGACCAATTCAAGTAATTAACTTCATTTAATCCAGGAAAAATCAAGTTAATACAGAGTAGAAAGTTGGTAGAGAGAGAGAGAGGGAAAGAGAGAGAAAGAAAGAGAGAGAGAGAGAAAAAGAAAGAGAAATAATATCCCAGTAGTGCAAATTTATTTAAAATGATGAAGCTTAGTGGATTAGGCATACTATCTGGTTTCAAGACTTTGGCCTGTCTGGGCATCATGAGCTTATTGCTGTATCACTCTAAATTAGCTTCTTGACTTTGCTTCATTTAAATTTTTTTTCTTAACTAAACTGAACATCCCACTTGACTAAATATGTAGTTCTATTTTCTTCTACTTCAGAAAAGGAACTGCAGTTTTTGGAAATTCAGTTTCTTTGCTAGAAAATATCTTTTGAATAACATCAGTTCTACTTAACAGATGGTTGTGGACTACAAATGGAGGTTGACATATATAAACATGAAAAGCTGTCACTCCCTGATCCCCTCTTCTAACAAGCTTATTCTTATTGGTGATTCCCTCTAGTTCTTATGTCCTTCAGCTCTCAGTCTAATTTGGTTGAGTAAACTAAAAAGCTAGGGAGGTCTCAGCTTTTCATCCCTGCTAGGATTGGGGAAAGGACATTTTCTGTGATACTATTTTTCTTTTTTATCCTTTTTTAAATAAAATAGAAATCATTGTAATACTTATCTAGGTTTCTTATAACACCATGCATGTAAAACAGTTAGTGGCAAGTCTTCCACTTAGCATTAAATTATAATTATTATAATTCAAAGTCTGAAATAAAATGTGGCAAACATTTTCTTACATAGTGATTGTGAAATGAAGGGTATGATCCTTGCCAGAAATCAGAGTTTATGGGTTTAAATCTCAATGTGGGATTTAAAACATTTAATTCAGGGGAATTTAGACTATTTTTCCAATCAGGGATAATTTCTGTTCCTCTAAAGCATCAGATGCCCTGGGTATGATAGGCTGTTTTGTGCTCAGTATCAGTGAAGAGCGGAAAGGAAGTGGAAAGCCCTCACCTTCCTAGGAAAGGAGGGAGTGGCCTCCTATGTTGTAACTATTTAAGATGGCATTTATGTTACATCTAGGACCAGTTAAGCGGCATGATGATAAAGACCAGGAGAAACTAAGGATTGCTATTGGAATGTGTATTCATATTGTGAATTCAAATAAAGATATATATATATATATATAAAGGTGATATGACATAGGTTGGGGAGTGGCATATTATTCGCATAGTCACTACAATTTGATTTGATGACAATGGAATTGGGTGAGTGGTACCATTAGGGAGCTTTCTATAAAAAAAAGAATGAGGATGTATAGTTGAGCATGATGGAATAGTTATTGTATTATGTGTTTCATAAGTAGGTTATCTCATGTGAACCTCGTAACAATCACATGAGATGGCTGTTGTTATTCCACCCCAGAGATGATTAGGGTTAATTGCAAGAGGATAAGCAATTTGTCTGAGACCACAGAGCAAGTATATTGCAGGGTTGGGATTAAAATTCAGTCTTTAGACTCTAAGGTCCATGTCATTCATTCATATATATATATAATACTGCCTTCTTTTAAAATAGGGTATTTAGACAAAAAGAAAGAAGCACAGATAAAGAAAATCCAGATGCTAACTACCTGAGATTATAGGATTGAGAAACAGCCTTGAAGGAAATCTGAAAACTTCAGGCCCCAAGAAAGTGAAAGTGGAGGCTTAGCCATATTAGCCAAAGTTGGGATGGGTGATTGGGAAGTCAGCCAGAGCCCCTCTGCCTTTTACCCTTCTTCCTACTGCGTTTGACATGCCGCTGCTTTAAAGTGATGTGGTTGGGAGACAGCATGATGTCGTGGAATAAGCCCAGGTTCAATAGCCTTGGGCTGAAATCTCAGCTTTGCAGTTGTTGGCTCTGTGAAATTAGGCAAATCGCTCAGTCTTTTTAAATCTATCAAATGGAGGAAATCTCTGAAAAGAAAAACTATGCAAACAGCCTAGTATAATTATAATACTAATTATTTGTAATCTGGAAAAAAAAAAACCCGCTTCTCACAGCTAAATTAATTCCCTCCCCTCTTCTGCCTCCAGTATTATCTTTGTCCTAGGGAAACAGACTGTGATATGGGAATTATGGTACAGGAAGTTTACTGGGGAATGCTCTCAGGAACACCTGTAAAGGAAGAGGGAAGCGGGGTGGATGGTGGGAGAAGACAACCTGGGATGCATTTGCAATATAAGTCTCATTTGATCCCACAGGTCATTCTGAAGCTGGAATTTGCATTTCAGAAATATCCTGAATTGCAGCTGTCTCTGGGGAAGGGATACAACTTTGATAGAGACACCTTTTTTATTTTATTTTATTATATTTTTGCCAAGAGCCATTCCCTGAGAGGGATGTGAGCTGTTAGCAGACAACACCCTTGGTGTCTACGGGAATGAAGTGGGGCTCTGGGTGGCACACCACAGCATCCTCCAAATCTTTATTGTTTGAGATATAGCAAGCTAAAATTATCCATTTGCATCTTCAACTGTCTCTTCCTTCTCCTACCCCAGTCCTTCAATTTAGGGGACTGAGGATTCACATTTGCTGAGTGTTTATTATGTACCTGGCACTGTGGTAGGTATGTCACATACATAATCTTATTTAACCCTTAAAACAGTTCTAAGAAGTAGGAGGAAAGTGAGATTTATAGAGTAACTTGGCCAAGCTGACCAGGTCCAGAGCCTGGGGTGGAAGGCAAAGCAGTTTATGTGCCTCTGCACATATTACATCTCTTCACTGCCTCCACCAAATCTATTCTACTTATAGTTTCTAATGTTGCTATTCCTAATATTCCTTCAGTAGATATCTCTAAAATATGCTATACCACAGAACTTTTTGGAAATGCGTTTATTTTATTTTTAAAATATCAGTATTATCCCTTTAATATATTGTGTTTAATTTGCAGGGAGTCACACAACTTAAAATCTTGCAATCATCAAGGATCTATAAATATTAAGGTGAAGACAAATAATTCCATCATGTTCATATGCGGCTTGCTAATTTAATTTTGAAACTCCTTATTAAAAATTCTTACAATATAATAAAAATATATCTTTAGATGGGGATCAGTTTTTCAGGACTCCACATAATGAGTCATCAAGTTCTATCCCTCTTTAACTTCTTCTAGTGACGTGGGAATTCTTGAAAGCAAGAAGTCAATCAAAGAGGCTCATTTGATTATAGTAAATTGGGAAGGGTTTAAAAAAATTTTTTTTTTGTTTTAATGAGGATAACAAAGTGATATCAACTTAGTAACAAATGAAAAGTATTTTCTGTGTTTCATTTTCTTTCCCCTGTAAGTTTTGATAGTAGTTCTCAGCCTAAAACAAATTACATTTCTTCTTTCCTTCCCTTCTTCCCCTCTTCCTCCTCCTCCTCCTTCTTTGTCTTCTTCTTCCTTTCTTCTTCTTTTTTTTAAAAAGTGCCAAAAGAGGGAAATGTTTATTGTTTGAATTCTTTCTCTGTATCCTACAGAGTTGTTGGCAGTTTAATAAATTTAAACCAATTTCCAATTCTTTCCTTACTTCTACTGAAATCTTTAAGATAGTTCTGAAATCTTTTTGTGTGTCAGTCCCATATGTCATCTCTAAAATATATTACTGTGAATCAGATTTCCATATGAGTCACTTTTTCCGCTACTGTAAATAGTAATGTAGTTCATTAGTTTTTTTTAGCCACTACATTTCCACACCATGGAAGCTACTGGTCTTCTATAGTAATCTGTCACATTGGCAAATCTTGCTTATTACAAGGATACTTCTAAAGAATGTTGAAAAAAATCACATTGGTTCCTTGCCTTCACAGAAAGTAATTTTCTTATATTTTATATTTTCTTGAAAAGTATATATCCAAAAGACTATAAATCGTTCTACTATAAGGACACATGTACATGAATGTTCATTGCAGCACTGTTTACAATAGCAAAGACCTGGAATCAACCAAAATGCCCATTGATAATAGACTGGATTGGAAAAATGTGGCACATATACACCATGGAATATTATGCAGCAATCATAAATGATGAGTTTGTGTCGTTTGTAGGGACATGGATGAATCTGGAGAATGTCATCCTCAGCAAACTGACACAAGAACAGAAAATGAAACACCGCATATTCTCACTCATAGGTGGGTGATGAAAAATGAGAACACATGGACACAGAAAGGGGAGTACTAAACAGTGGGGTCTACTGGGGGGAAAAGGGGAGGGCCAGTGGGAGGGGGAGGTGGGGAGGGATAGACTGGGGAGAAATGCCAAATGTGGGTGAAGGGGAGGAGGAAAGAAAAGCACACTGCCATGTGTGTTCCTACGCAACTGTCTTACATGCTCTGCTCATGTACCCCAAAACCTAAAATCCAATAAAAAATTAAAAAAAAAAAAGTATGGATTTAAGAAACAAAATTCACCTCTCAAAGTCAAAGTCATGGTGTTCAACAGAGAAATGTGGCAAAGTGCTGGGCAAAGTACATGACTAATATATCACGTTTTCCTTCCATTCTAGGACAGATGGTAGAAGTGAAGATTTGTTTCTGATCATCAGTATTTGCCTTAATATTTGATTTGCTTTCTTGGGTAGTTCATCCTTGCTCCTCACACTCTGAGCTTTACTCCTTGGCAGTCATTGTCAAAAATCCTTCTCTACTGAAGTTTCCAAAAGGTTTAATTCATACAGACTGACCTAATATATAACTTCAGGAAAGCTTTCTTGGTTTTTAAAAAGTGCCATCTCCTTCTCCATTCTTTTATTTTTTTTTGCAAACCAATAGTATTTTTTTCAGTACCTTTTTGGTTAAGCATTTTCCATCAGTGCCTGAAAAAGAGAAAGTGTTTTTGAGTTTTGACCACCCTGATTAGTAAAAACACTGAAGCACAAAAGGATTCAAAGTTTGTATGCTTTAAAGATCAAGTAATTAAAAAATACTCTTTGTTCTTAGTTTTATGTGTAGGAAAATGTTGAGGTTAATTCTCTGGCCATGTGGGATAATTTGACTCTTAATCAGTAAATTTAAAAGATCTTTCATAACATAAAAAAGATCCAGCCCTGCCAAGGACAAATGACTGGCACTGAAATTCCTTTGTTAGCTTAAGTCATTGATATGTAAAACAAAAGAAAATTCTTTGGCAGAAAACAGAAGAATGTCCAGATGGTTTCTATCTATTTTCCCATTGATTGTATGATTAAAATCCCCTTTAATCATCAGAAAAATTGAGATAGAATGTTCGTAATAGAACTCTGTTTTAAGGAAATGCTTTCAGTGGTAGGTTCACTAGTAGTGAAGTGTTTTGTGAATGTGTTCTGTGGAGGAAAAGGCATTCAGATAGCTCATCTGGGGATGTAACTGCCTCTTTGTAGCATTACGTTGGTTGTGCCAGAAGAGATTAAACACTAGCCCATTAAAATGAATTATAAATTAGCAATGATCACCTGCTTTCAGGTGGTATTTCCCTTTACCTGAAGCAGGATGTGCACCTTCAATGGATTCTTAGGTGGGCTAGTTCATTTATGAGGTTCATTAGTAAAGAGAGCACCAATAAACTAATTAGAAAACTTCTAATTCATATTCTTAAGGATTATAGGATGGAATTTGTTTACCCTGAAAACTCAGACCCAAATTTGCTAGCCTTTTCATATTCTGTGAAATGATGCATCTGTTGATGTTGGTCAGTAGTAGAAATACATACCTATGTGTTTCTGCTAAATTCCATCCACTGATCACTAGATCCTTATTGCTCTGTACATATAGAATATGCATGTAAATCCATAGTTATATTTGGTATTTTTAAGTTGAATGACTGCTTAGAACCTTGCATAACATTGTCTATATCCATGTATCCATGTCTATGTCTGGCTCTATATCTCTATCTATTTCTGTATCTCCTTAGTTTCTAAATGATGCCCGTAATGGTTTTAAAATGAAAAACAGGAAAATAAACAAAAATAAAAATTCTAGTGCCTGAACCACAATCTCTTGGATTTTTAAAAATTTTTAATTATTTTTCTTAATGATTATTTTCTAGCTCTCTAGGAGGCCAAGGTGGGCAAATCACTTGAGTCCAGCCTGGACAACATGGTGTACCCTGTCTCTACATAAAAATTCAAAAAATTAGTTGGGGCATGATGACACATGCCTGTGGTCCCAGCCAACTGGGAGGATTGCTTGAGCCCAGGAAGTGGAGATTGCAGTGAGCTGAGATTTCGCCACTGCACTCTGGCTTGGGCAATAAAGAGAGACCTTGTCTCACCAAAAAAAAAGAAAAAAAATTATTTTCAAAGTCTTTACTTCGGGCTAGGGAGACAGTATTGCCATGAGTTTTAGGATGCCAGTGAGAAAAAATGCAGAAACAGAGGATGTATTTCCTAGTAATGTTAGATCCAGTACTCCTGAGGAAGAGTAGCACTTAAGGGGAAGAGTAGTGGCTCAAGGAGAAGGAGCAGGAAAGGATGTGGAGAGTGTTTAGTTTGCTATGTCTCCTGGTAAGCCTGTGTGGTTCCTGCTGGGCAATGGCTCACATTCATGGAACTAAAAGCCACAGGAGGGTAGGGCAGGAGGTATTGGTCCTAATAATTGTATGCTTATTAAGCACTTACTATAATTCATGTGCAGTTCTAAGGACTTCACATAGTTTTTATTTTAACCCTTATAACAGCACCTATGAATGGGCACTGTCATTATTCTCATGTTATGGATGAGAGACTTAGGTAAGTTAGGTAATTTGAAGGTCCAATCATTCAAATCCAGGTAATTTGACTTGAGAGGCAACCTCTCTTGATCATTGTTTTGCTCTGTCTCTAAATATAAATATGGCATAATCACACAGAGGTGCTTGTCACCTTTCAAATAGGACATTGAAATTCCATGTCGATACCAGCGAACATCCCTGAAGCAAACATTAAAAAGGAGAGCTGATGTCTACTATAGTCAGCCGTTTCCTTTTTGCTATCCAAGTCTGGGTGGTTCCAGAGGGATTGATGTTACAGAAATGATAGGAAAGGGGGTAGGTGGCACTCAGGTTTGACCTGTCTTGATTCTGCTTGCCAGTTATGAGAATGTCTCAATACCTGCTCTGTATTTCCAAACCAGCTTTGTGTGTCTAGTTTGATTGGCAGCACGGCTTTCTTTCTTAGTGGCACATAAAGTAATAGTGCAGCTTAAAAATGATGGTGATTTGCCATGGAATATCCTTCAGCCAGAAAAAGGAATGAGATAGTGTTCTTTGCAGGGACATGGATAGAGTTGGAAGCCATCACCTTCAGCAAACTGACGCAGAAACAGAAAACCAAATACCGAATATTCTCATTTGTAAGTGGAGCTGAACAATGAAAACACATTGACACATGGCAGGAACAACACACACTGGAGCCAACTGGTGGGGTGGGGGGAAGGAGAACATCAGGAAGAATAGATAATGGATGCTGGACTTAATACCTAGGTGATGGGTTGATTTGTGCAGCAAACCACCAAGGCACATGTTTACCTATGTAACAAACCTGCACATCCTGCACATACATGTACCTTAGAACTTGAAAAAAACTTGAAGAAAAAGATGATGGTGATTTGGATCTAACAAAATTTCATATCTATATTCCACCGAGGCAACTGTGGAGGTTATATAATTTCTTCTAGGTTACTCATCTAGAGAGTGGTTGTGACATATAATGGCTAATTATTGAGAAAGTCAGTTTTTATTTCATCCTAGTCACAGTTGGTCTACATTCTCCAGCTTCCCCTGCAGTTAAGTTTGGCGTGAGAATGAGTTCTGGACAGTGGAATGTGGACGGATAACTGGACCCTTAAAAATTATTGCTTTTCTCCACTCTTTCTTTTTTCCCCTCTGCCAGCTGGATACCAACTTCCAGGACAGTCCTGGGAACCACATGTTGAAGATGGCTGGACTTCTGCAATGTGATTTATGAACGACTATGTGGAAAGGAGCTGCCTTTTCTTCTCACTTTCTTTAGTCTACTGATTGACTTTACATGAGTAAGAGATAAACTTACACTGTGTTAAGCCACTGAAATTTTGGCATTAATGTGTTACAAATAGATTATGTTACCTTAACTAATACACTGGCAGAATTGAGATTTAAACTTTGTTATTCTAATTCTAAAATCTGTCTTCCTAAATAGCATTTATCAGAGTTAACAAGTGTTATACTGAATAAAGGTTTCCATCGTGTAAGAAGTTCGGGAAACAGTCGAGCAAGTTTCCTGATGTAAGTCTTCCTGGAGCCATTCCAGTATACATTGTGAATCTCTAAAAAGTGTCATATGCAGCTTTAATAGCACTCTATGACACTGGTTATGCTTCATACTTCCTTTAAAGACCTTGAGTCTTGTAAAAATGTGTTAGTTTGTATAGAGCCATATTCCTAAAGCTTACAAATACATTTGAAATTATACTTATAAATAAACCTCTCTAATCTTTTTATAAAAATAATTTTGACTTTTATTTTAGATTCAGGGGTATATATGCAGGTTTGTTATCTGGGTATATTGTGTGATGTTTGGGATACAATTGATCCTGTCACCCAGATACTGAGCACAGTTTCCAATAGTTAGTTTTTCACCCCTTGCCCTCCTCCTTTTCTCCCTGCTCTAGTAGTCCTTGTGTCTAGTCTTCTCAACTTTATGCCCAAGCGTACCCACTGTTTAGCTACCACTTATAAATAAGAACATATGGTATTTGATTTACTGTTCCTGGATTAATTCACTGCATAGAAATTATTTTCCTCTGTTAATTTGCTCTTAGGATAATGACTTTCAGCTGCATCCATGTTATTGCAAAGGATATGATTTCATTCTTTTTATGGCTACATAGTATTCCATGGTGTATGTGCATCACATTTTCTTTATTCAATCCAATGTTGATGGGTACCTAGATTGAGTTCATGTCTTCATTTTAGGTTCTGGGGTACATGTAAAGGACATGCAGGATTGTTGCAAAGGTACATACATGGTAATATGGTTTGCTGCCTCCATCCCCATCACCTATATCTGGCATTTCTCCCCATGTTATCCCTCCCCAACTCTCTACCCACTGCTGTCTGTCCCCTAGACTCCCCCCACAGACCTCAGTGTGTGATGCTCCCCTCCCTATGTCCATGTGTTCTCATTATTCAACACCCACCTATAAGTGAGAACATGTGATGCTTGAATCTCTGTTCCTGTGTCAGTTTGCTGAGAATGATGGTTTCCAGGTTTATCCATGTCCCTACAAAGGACATGAACTCATCATTTTTGACTGCTGCATAGTATTCCATGGTGTATATGTGCCACATATTCCCTGTCCAGTCTATCATCGATGGGCATTTGGGTTGGTTCCAGGTCTTTGCTATTGTAAACAGTGCCACAATGAACATTCCTGTGCATGTGTCCTTATAACCTTATAATAGAACAATTTATAATCCTTTGGACATATACCCACTAATGGGCTTGCTGGGTCAAATGGAATTTCTGTTTCTAGGTCCTTGAGGAATCACCACACTGTCTTCCACAGTGGTTGAACTAATTTACACTCCCATCAACAGTGTAAAAGTGTTCCTATTTCTTCACATCTTCTCCAGCGTCTGTTGTCTCCAGATTTTTAAATGATTGCCATTCTGACTGGTGTGAGATGGTGTCTCAATGTAGTTTTGATTCGCATTTCTCTAATGACCAGTGATGATGAGCATTTTTTTCATGTTTTTTGGCCTCATATATGTCTTCTTTTGAAAAGTGTCTGTTCACATCCTTTGCACACTTTTGAATGGGTTTTTTTTTTCTTATAAATCTGTTTTAGTTCTTTGTAGATTTTGGATATAAGTCCTTTGTCAGATGGGTCGATTGCAAAATTTTTTCCCATTCCGTTGGTTGCTGGTTCATTCTAATGATTGATTCTTTTCTGTACAGAAGCTCTGGAGTTTAATTATATCTCATTTGTCTATTTTGGCTTTTGTTGCTGATGCTTTTGGTGTTTTAGTCATGAAGTCCTTGCCTATTCCTATGTCCTGAAGGTTTTGCCTAGGTTTTCTTCTAGGGTTTTTATGGTATTAAGTCTTATGTTTAAGTCTTTAATTCATCTGGAGTTAATTTTAGTGTAAGTTGTCAGGAAGGGTTCCAGTTTCTGCTTTCTGCAGATGGCTAGCCAGTTTTCCCAACCCCATTTATTAAACAGGGAATCCTTTCCCCATTGCTTGTTTTTGTGAGGTTTGTTAAAGATCAGTTGGTTGTAGATGTGTGGCATTGCCTCCAATGCCTCTGCTCTGTTCCATTGGTCTATATCTCTGTTTTGATACCAGTACCATGCTGTTTTGATTATGGTAGCCTTGTAGTATAGTTTGAAGTCAGGTAGCATGATGCCTCCAGCTTTGTTCTTTTTGCTTAGAATTGACTTGGCTATGTGGGCTCTCTTTTGGTTCCATATGAAGTTTAAGGTGGTTTTTTTTCCAGTTCTGTAAATAAGATCATTGGTAGCTTGATGGGAATAGCATTGAATCAGTTAATTACTCTGGGCAGTATGGCCATTTTCATGATATTGATTCTTCCTAACCATGAGCATGGAATGTTTCTTCATCTGTTTGTGTCCTCTCTTATTTCCTTGAGCAGTGGTTTGTAGTTTTCCTTGAAGCGGTCCTTTACATCCTTTGTTAGTTGTATTCCTAGGTATTTTATTCTCTTTGTAGCAATTGTAAATGGGAGTTTGTTCTTGCTTTGGCTCTCTTTTAGTCTGCTATTGGTGTATAGGAATGCTTGTGATTTTTGCACATTGATTTTGTATCCTGAAACTTTACTGAAGTTCCTTAATAGTTTAAGGAGATTTTGGGCTGAGACAGTAGGGTATTTTAAATATACAGTTGTGTCATCTGTAAATAGAGATAATTTGACTTCCTCCTTTTCTAATTGAATATCCTTTTTCTTTTTCTTGCCTGATTGCTCTGGCTGGAACTTCCAATACTATATTGAATAGGAGTGTTGAGAGAAGGCATCCTTGTCTAGTGCTAGATTTCAAGGGGAATGCTTCCAGTTTTTGCCAATTTAATATGCTATTGGCTGTGGGTTTGTTGTAAATAGCTTTTATTATTTTGAGATATGTCCCATCAATACCTAGTTTATTGAGAGTTTTTAGCTTAAAGAGTTGTTGAATTTTGTTGAAGGCCTTCTCTGCATCTATTGGCATAATCATGTGTTTTTTTGTCTTTGCTTCTGTTTATGTGATGAATTACGTTTATAGACTTGTGTATGTTGAACCAGCCTGCATCCCTGGGATGAAGCCTACTTGATCATGATGGTTAAGCTTTGTGATGTGCTGTTGCAATCAGTTTGCCAGTATTTTATTGAAGATTTTTGCATCTATATTCATCATGCATATTGCCTTGAAGTTTTCTTTTTTTGTTGAGTCTCTTCCAGGTTTTGGTATCATGATGATGTTGGTCTCATTAAAAGATTCGGGGAGGGTTCTCTCTTTTTGGATTGTTTGGAATAGTTTCTGAAGGGGTGGTACCAGCTCTTCTTTGTGTGTCTGGTAGAATTCGGCTGTGAACCTATCTAGACCTGGGTTTTTATTTGGTTGGTAAGCTATTAATTGCTGCCTCAACTTCAGCTGTTGTTATTAGTCTATTCAGGGTTTCAGTTTCTTCCTGGTTTAGTCTTGGGAGGGTGTAAGTGTCCAGGAATGTATCCATTTCTTCTAGGTTTACTGGTTTATGGGCATAGAATTGTTTATAGTAATCTCTGATGGTGGTTTGTATTTCTATGGAATCAGTGGTGATATCCTTTATCATTTTTTATTGCATCTGTTTGATTTTTCTCTCTTTTCTTTTTTAATCTGGCTAGCAGTCTGTCTATTTTGTTGATCTTTTTTTTTTTTTTTTTTTAAAAAAACCTCCTGTTGATTGATTTTTGAAGGGTTTTTGTGTCTCTGTCTCTTTCAGTTCTGCTCTGATCTCAGTTATTTCTTGTCTTCTGCTGGGTTTTGAGTTTTTTTTTGATCTTGCTCCTTTATCTCTTTCAATTTTGATGATAGGGTGTCGATTTTAGATCTTTTCTTGCTTCTCATGTGGGCATTTATTGCTATAACTTACTCTCTAAACACTGCTTTAAATGTGTCCCAGAGATTCTGGTATGTTGGGTCTTTGTTCTCTTTGGTTTCAAAGAATATCTTTATTTCTGCCTTCATTTCATTGTTTATCCAGTCAAAATTCAAGAGCCAGTTGTTCAGTTTCCATGAAGTTGTGTGGTTCTGAGTTAGTTTTTGAATTCTGGGTTCTAGTTTGAATGTACTATGGTCTGAGAGACTGTTATGATTTCCATTCTTTTGCATTTGCTGAAGAGTGATTTACTTCCAATTATGGGGTTAATTTTAGAGTAGGTGTGATATGGTGCTGAGAAGAATGTATATTCTGTGGATTTGGGGTGGAGAGTTCTGTAAATGTTTATTAGGCTTGCTTGGTTTAGGTCTGAGTTCAAGTCCTGGATATCCTTGTGAATTTTCTGTCTCGTTGATCTATCTAACATTGACAGTGAAGTGCTAAAGTATCTCACTATTATTGTGTGAGAGTCTAAGTCTGTTTGTAAGTCATTACAAAGAACTTGCTTTATGTATCTGGGTGCTCCTGTATTGGGTACATATATATTTAGGATCGTTAGCTCTTCTTGTTTCATTGATCCTTTTACCATTATGTAATGCATTTTTTGTCTCTTTTGATTTTTGTTGGTTTAAAGTCTATTTTATCAGAGGCTAGGATTTCAACTCCTGCTTTTTTTTGCTCTCCATTTGCTTGGTAGATCTTCCTCCATCCCTTTATTTTGAGCCTATGTGTATCCTTGCATGTGAGATGATTTCCTGGATACAGCAGACCGATGGGTTTGATATTTTATCCAATTTGCCAGTCTGTGTTGTTTGATTTGGGCATTTAGCCCATTCACATTTAAGGTTAATATTGTTATGTGTGAATTTGATCCTGCCATTTTGATGCTAGCTAGTTGTTTTGACCGTTAGTTGACAAAGTTTCTTCATTGTGTCAATGCCCTTTACCATTTGGTATGTTTTTGGAGTGGCTGAAATTTTTTGCTCCTTTCTATGTTTAGTGCTTCTTTCAGGATCTCCTGTAAGGTAGGGCTGGTGGTGATGAAATCTCTCAGCAATTGCTTGTTCATAAAGGATTTTATTTCTCCTTCGCTTATGAAGCTTAGTTTGGCTGGATATGAAATTCTAGGTTGAGAGTTATTTTCCTTAAGGGTGTTGAATATTGGTCCCCACTCTCTTCTGGCTTGTAGTTTCTGCAGAGAGATCCACTGTGAGTCTGATGGGCTTCCCTTTGTGGGTAACCCAACCTTTCTTTCTGGCTCCCTTACATTTTTTCCATCATTTCAACCCTGGTGAATCTGATGATTATGTGCCTTGGTGTTGCTCTTCTTGAAGAATATCTTTGTGGTGTTCTCTGTTATTTCCTGGACTTGAATGTTTGCCTGCCTTGCTAGCTTGGGGAAGTTCTGGGTAATATCCTGAAGAGTGTTTTCCAGCTTGGGTTTATTCTCTCCATCACATTCAGGTACACCAATCAAACATAGATTCGTTCTTTTCACATAA